AAGGTGCCAAGAAGGGGTAAGAGGAAGCCCTCTAGATAAGTGACAAAGGAGAATCGTCTTTATCTCGGCATCCCCCTCCCTTATTTTAAGGGAAAAAGGACACCCTGACGTGAATACACCATGGCACTTCGTGGTTGTTACGCGTGTTTGAAGTACCTCGTACTTATCTTCAATTTCATCTTTTGGGTGAGCACATTCAACAGGTCACAATGGTTTATGTCTTCGTTTGGTTTCGCATGGCTTATGCATGGAAATACATTCATGAATTACCATGCGTGAACTTTGTTTTAAGTGGGTAACCTTCCTGGGAAATCATATCCATTTGTAAAGAGATACAAAGTCAATCAAATTTCATTTATATCCTACCTAAAGAGCATCAAGAAAACCCTTGAGTTGGGTGGAATTTGATGCGTAGGGCCTCACGCGGTTAGAAAGGTGTAAGGTATGTGGGTGTTCAGATGGGAAAAAAAAATGGGGGGAGGAGAAAGACGGCCAGATAAATTATTTTCATATTAGCCGAGAGATGGCAGCATCATTGGTAAGAGATGTGTAAGTATGGGACGGTGTTGTTTATCCTTTTCTTATCCCTCGAACGGGGATGTCAGATGAATCTCCAATTGCACAACATCCATCTCCATTCGAAACTTGCACCATATGACGGTGATCCCCATGGTACAGATATACAAGAGGCTTATACTTATTTTCATATTTCATCATCGTTTGTGGTTACATTCCGCCATATCCTACCATGTTTTCAATCGCTTAACATTCTACTTCCAATAGATAGGTAGGTGAAGTGCTCTTAACAACACTGGAGTATCTTCGATTGGAGTTGAGGATGCTGATATTAGTTTCCACTATGAAAGGGGTTTTGAGCCATACCCGAGGTTTATGGTAGTGTCAGGCAGCTTGAGGTTTTATGTAATTATTACGTACGGTAGGAGTCGCAACAATCGGATTACGGTTTAAAATGTCCGTCAGCAACCTCAAGTACCCTTGTTCGCCCCATGAGACCAACGGCGCGAAACAGGTAATGGTTCATTGTAACAATCTCTGAGTAGATGTGATCCTTCTGGTTGACCGGGTCGTGAGGATCCAGGATGCACCCTCCTCTTGTGGTAACTGTTGTTAATAATCCGGCTATACCAGGTCCTGGGAGCGAAGTAGCCATGTCTCCGAGATTGCACGTCTGATAATGCGTTCTACAAAGTGATCCTGCAGAGTTGTCGTCACCCCACATTCAAATTGGAATGGTGCGCTATCCTATTTGAAAGTGACGTCATTTAGATGCCCTCGTTGCCGTAGGTTTGGGAAGACTGAATTATGTAAAATTGACTCAGTGCGGGATCGTGACAGTGACAGTAGTAAAGCCATTAACACTTTTCCGCAAATAGGGGCTCAATAATTATGTCGGCCGTAAACCCGCACCAGAAAGCATTCCTTTGGCTGATTGAGTAGCTGACGGCACCACTGAGGATCAAGCGCAGCCTAAATTCGACAGTTGTGAATGTTGACAGCCCTGAAAAGGAAGCATATGAGCAAATGCTTCATATTAGCAAATGATGCACCACAGCCAACGAGGATCATTTACTTGTGTTGCCATTCAAATGTGAGGTGTTCTTTGATATCCTTGACTAGCTGCTCCTGCATGGGTTAGGTTTTGGTAATATCTAAGGGTGTACCGGAGTATTTTCCTTACTGCTGGCTGAACTAGGCGTTTCCATTCGTCCTTGGTGGTGCCTCATGGTCCATATCGACCTTTCTCTTAGTCATTTCCTCCATCGTGTGGTTAACTTCCTCCCTCCCTTCCATTTGACATCTTGAGCGCTACCTGTCTTCAGGAACCTCTGTTGGGGGAGCTCTCAGTCTGTGGTTTGCTCGGACCATTGCGCAAATCCCATCCCTTTGCGGTAGGCCCGTATGGCAGCCGTAACATATTGTCCTTGACCGTGGTAACAGATAACCGATGTAACATGTTGTGCTGAGGTCAAGAAGCATTGTGTCCTTTAACCGGCCCTTATCAGCAATTCGTGAATGCCATATTAATATGCACATAGGCAGCTTATTTTAGAAGTTTCGACTGCAGCGCCACCTACCCAACATCACCTATGAAGTAAAACTTCTTGCTGTCTGACAAATGTGAATTCTTTCCGCTGTTACTGAAATTAGAATTTTATTTCCGTATTTTATGATTCTGTACGCTCCAGTCCACAATCAAAAGCGTTTTAGTGAGTTCCTTTTTTTTTCTTTAAGAGGTTACTTTACCGGTTGTTGAGTGGCAAGCAACCCACTTTCGAAAATCGTTAAACTTCGCTTCAAGAAAACACCAGGTACTAGTGAGAAGTAAGGGAGAAAAGAAGGAGTCTGATTGGAAATGCATGCGAGCGAGACATGGACATGGAGATGTAGGGCTCCTCTGTTCTGCAGCTGACTCAAGTCCAGTGGCATCTGGACAATGTAACGAGACGAGAGTGACACACTGTCCGACACTTTTAGACCTACTTCACACTTGACCAAATCCGAGGTATTCATCTGGTATTCGTGCATGCCCAGGGAAGGAAAGAGGCGTTTTAGAGGATCTAATTTGTTTGCGAAAGTGAGGTCGCAGTCACAGTCTCGTGAACACTTGAAGGAATATGAATGGTATGGCCTCATCTCTTCTGTCGCCTTCGTTGAGGCACGGATCCAGGAGAATGGCCAAATGGCGGGATGGGAGCCTCGGCGAAGGCCAAAGAAAGAAAAGGGGCAGACATATGCTTGCTCATCCTGTATATGCTCCCCCTCTCCTCCTATTTATGGACTTTTGCTTTCCTGGCTTTGCTGGCTGTCTCCAACTCGCCTCTTTCTGACGTCATCCTCCGTCTCTTTTCTTATTTCCTAACCTTTTTTTTTCTCCTTCGACCTTTTTAATGAATCTCTGCTGATATGCTGCTCATTTTCTAGTTTTTTTTTTTCTTAAGAAAGGGTTTGGTGGAGAGGGAGAAAAAGGTGAACTTGGCTTCTCTTCAAGTCCCATGCTCCTCTCTTCTCTGAGAGATCCCATTCTGTCTCTGTCCTCCCTGCATTGTCAACTGAATGAACAACGTCTCATGAATGAATGAACGAATGGCGTTCTAAAGTCGACACAATGCATGGTTCCATCTGGAAACAAATACGTTCGAGTACCGTACGAAGTTCCGCGTCATCGTCTCCCTTCCTGTGAATCCTCTGTGAAACTTGAATCGGTCCCTTGTTTGTGATCCCTCTAGTTTCACCCTCCTGACCTTGGAGACTCTTCTCCTATTTTCCTTGGAACGCGTTTTGGTTCTGCCGCGTGATTTGGAAACTTTTCCTCTATCTTCACTTGAGCTGAAGCCAGCAAAGGCCTTCCATTGTGACCTTGGTCACCCAATTTGTAAGCGTTAATTTAACGGTCAAACAAGGCGTGTTGGTTTCTTAGGAAGGTTCCGTGCATGGGAGGAATCTTATCGTCATTACCAATCATTAGCGTCCCACAATCCCATTTCAAGTCATTTTCTTCACCAAAATATATGTGAATTCTGGACAGTTGGGAAGTTAATTAATCAATTTCCTTGATCGGACAGGAAGCAGTGTTGTGATAAAGGAAGAGAAAGTGACAAGAATATTATAATACAAGGGAAGTGATGACAATCGAAATCCAGTTTCGAGAACACAAAAACGGGGAGTGGCGTTATAAGTAAAAGGGGAAGAGGACCGGTATGGGGATTGCGCAACGAGGGGGGTTGAAGGAATGAAGGAAGGGAAAAGTGGACCTGGACTGAACGGGGGTTCAATGGACCACTACTGACACCATTACCAGCCATCCGTCCAGTCGTAACTTCCATGCTAGCGGACTACCGAATCACGTTCTTGTACTCCGTTCGCGGACTTCTTCGCTTGGTTTCTTCCTTCTCGTTTCCTTGTGTACAGGGTGAAGCGAAAAAAAAAACTCGTTCATCATGGCTGGATTCATATGTACATTACGTACGCCAAATTTGAATGAGCGGGAGCTCGTTGAGGTTGTAAATCCTCATTTACGGGAGTCGTTGGAATCAAAGGAAAATTGAGGATTGTTACCTGATCGTCTTTTAAAGCTGTGAAGGCCTTCCATTTCACTATCTCCGTGTATGTATACCTATTATTTTTATTGGCCGTACGCAACCGACCTGTTTTTTTTTTTGTTTTTTTTTTTTCCTTAGCTCCCCGTAAATAGAACGTATACGGAAACCCGCATACGGAAACCCAATAGGCTCATAGAAACACGTGGATGCAGCGCCGTGCTTGGAGTTTTTTCAAGTTCCGTGTGTCCGCTCTCTTGCTCGTTGCATGATCTTATACCTGTATTCCTTCTGCGCGGACGAACGGGCCTGAATATCAGCTTTCATTTTCCCTAGTCTTGGCTATTGCAGGAGGGCCTCATACACTTTCTCCTCTCACGTGCTCCGTCTCTCGCGTCTCGGCTACATCGATCCTGTCGGTTTTTCTGGTATGGAATTGTATCATCCCCGCCCTCTATTTACAGGGAAAGGGAGTTGGGGGAGGGGGGGAAGAGAAAGAAAAAAAATAAGGAAACACCCTCTTGGTATGGCATGCCATCCATTATGGAGACCTTGCACGAGACCAGTACCGAAAATTCCTTTCTCCAGGATCTTCCTTGAAATATCGTATCGTAGGTTTGGGATTGAGGAAGTTGAGAATCGATTTTGGAGGTACGAAGGGATGTTATGCTCATGTACGCCCACATACATTATGGCCTCTTTTACCACGCGTTCTAGCTCTCATTCCTTTTCGGTACCTTGCCACGTCAGCTTGAGTATCGTGTCGTTCATTATGAAGCTGTCGTCTGTATCGCATTGCTGTGAATATGGCCATGAACTCGATGCTAATGAATTATCATCCTCCTTTCGCTACGAAGGAGGAAGATGGACGAAAGGAGATGAAGGGAAAGTCTTCCGCTTTCTTTCGCCCACACCTCCATTCTCTTTACGTTTATTTCCACAATGATCGTCGGGATGTTTTTTCTGTCTTTCTTTCTATTCCCCACCTATTCTAGGTTTCCCCCTACCCTCTTTTTTTTTTTCCTTCTTGTGGATACCTGAATGATATTTCTGTGTGGGTGTTGCAGCTGGCGGGGTTAGCCCTCCTCATCATGTCATTATGGCTGTACTTCGACACACAAGAGTACGTTCAGGCCGTGAGGGACATGGACCAGTACATGAAGGGGATCTACATCTTCATGGTTGTTGGATCCATAATGGTCGTCGTCGGCTTCCTTGGATGCTGCGGAGCCCTCCGGGAATCTCAATTCTTGCTTACCGCCGTAAGTACATGTGGTCAACTGACACTCTCCCTCTACGGGGTGGGTCTTCATAAGTCGGTTAACTTATGGTGTACTCCGGCTTGTTCTATTCTTCTTGTCCCTTGTAGCTTTAAAGGGACTTTTCAAAATCCCTTTTTTTGTTTGTGTACTCGTTTAACAGGATTTTGCATTAGTAAGTAATTCTATATTATTAGCACACTCATTCAACTGCCTGTTAGTTAAGTCTCTTTTGTGGCTATATACTGCTTTACCTAAGTGACATTACAAGACTCGACTTTAGAACAACGAGTCTATGATTGCCGCATCTACCATGAATGATGTCGAAGCCGGTTACGAATAAAAAAAATGATGTTGATGTCGGGCGTTAGAACCGAGAATTACATCATCACTCTTGTTATTGATATTCTCATCCAGGAACTAGAGATGGGGTGAAGAAAGCTTTGAAGGCAAATTCTTTTGGAGGCCAGTCTCAATCAGGCTTGAATGTGAAATTTGCACTCCCTTTTTGGAAATTAAGTCTTAGGATTTCTTATGGTAACTTGAGAATGCAGAGTATAATCGGTCCCATCATCATCAGATAGTTTGAGTTATGACTAATAAATCTTCCTCTTTGCTGATAGCTTGCTAGTCTCATGAAATTCACTTCAAGCATTCATTCTACCGACTACGAGGTCAGATCATGCTAGTGAAGGAGAGCAAAGTGTTCGCAAATAAAATCTGGATTGTGCCAGCAAAAATTTTGTCTGGTATTTTGCCAATAAGTGCCTTCTAGATTCAAACCTCTGAGAAAAACTGTGTAATTGACAAAACACAGTATGAGTAGTAAGTTGATGGAGATAGTTAATAACAGGAATTCTGGTAACATATTTACTTTTGCATTTTTTCCTCAATTGAATGGCTTGGAGGAGAGAAAGGATCTACTTTACCTTTGGAAGAGAGCCTAGATTCCATGTAACCAAAAGTGTGGCAATGGAAATTATACCCCCAATTGAAGTAGCAGATGTAAATAGAGTGTGTTGGCTTAAGAGATGAAGTAAAGAAAAAACTGCCCCTTGTGTAAGTATGGGAACATCTTCTTGGAAAGATGACAACTGGATGTGCCAACTGAGGAATGTGAGATACATGAGGTTATCCCATTATACAATTCAGAGAAGTCCTTTGAGTGCATGCAAGAATAATTTTTCTGGATATGAGACAGCTGCAGAGACAGTATCTAACTGTAGGACTTTTTGAAGAATGGTTAAAGGAGGATCAAACTTAAATTTTCCATGGTTGCTCCATGGCACAGCTGATACTGGAACTTGAAATATAAAAAAATAGGAAATAATGATGAAAACTGCTAAATAAAAAATAAAGAACAAAATTAAGTAAAGAATTTAAATATATATATTTTATGCAAAGAAATTTGGTTGTTGGTTGTTGGGATGCCTTGCTTTGTTGAGAATGAGAAGGAAAGAGAGCAAGCATGTTCCTGCTTGCATAGGCTGAATGCTGAGGCAAAGAGAGAGTATTATTTTTCACAAGTGTTGTCTAATAATTTTCCAGTTTTTCATCCTCCTGTTGGTGATCTTTGTGGCACAAGTGACGGGAGCTGTATATGCATACTACAATGGAGAAGAGCTAGACAAGGTGATCCGCGGCAGCATGAATAATCTTGTTGTCAAGGAATATACAGGCAAGGATGATGATGTCAGGACCAAGCTCATGGACACCCTTCAGAGTGATGTGAGGCTAAATTCATATTTCTTTTTTTCACTGCAGAGTAAAACCTCTCTTTCAGACCGATCAAGCAAAGTGCTGCTTGAGGGATTGCTGAATCATATAACTTAATTCATGGCATGCTGAAATCAGACATCATGTTGGAAAGGCTCTCGATGGAGCAGAAACAAAGCATATAAAATATTAAGTATAAAGAACTGGAAACTCAACCCCCATAGAAAAATACTGTTAATGAAATAATATGTTTATAGTATTATGCTACTGCCTGAGATGAAACTACTAACAAATCATGCATAATAAACAAAAAATTGTAGATAAGGTAAGCCAAAGGAAAGAATATGGAATGATTTATCTGGGGAAAGCAAGAAGAACAAGTATACCCATGTGTGCCTTTTGTAAATGGTTATGTTAAAGTTATTTTGAGAAAAAATTGCCTTCATTGGTTTTGCAAGGGGCTTTTTTATTTTTCAGAAGTCTACCTGAAACATAGATGCTATCATGACCATGCTTATGAGATTCTTTTGTTGAAGGGGATGGTCTATGGATGGATATATAAGCATTACAGTGCTCTGACATGATTTGGTAATAATTGGATGTATGGAGAGCAGTATTGTCTGTGCAGAATAGGAAGTTCCATGCATTAGGGTTGTATTGGGAATGAGACTATTGACATTGTTCATCAAAGGACTCCCATAGCTTCCTTATTTGAATCAGGAGGTTTTTGTTCCAAAAATATCTTGGTAGGGAAAATGAATGAGGATGCGTGTCCATATGGCTCTACCTCTTAATATGCTGTTTTGTGATATATGCTCCAGTCCTGTAAGCCAAGAAAAAGGGGTATGATTTGCATCCTGATATGCATCAGTTATGCAAAAAGTGTAACTTACAGGGTGGTACAAAAGGAAAATGGTCAATGGGGATAGCCCTACATTTCACTTAACTTTAGAATGAGTAACATGCTTCAGACTCAATCTCTTGCTCTTGTTTTGTGAGTGGGGTAAGTTGTCAGTAGTGTTACCTTGCATAAATGATTTTCTCTGAATTAATGAACACTATAAAACACATTCTGATTGACAAAACTCCCTTTAGATTTTTTTTTTTCAAAATGTTTCTTTCTTGTGAATGATTTGGTTCCCTAGGATGACCAATGATAATTGGAAAAAGAGGAAATAAATATATTGCTATGCTGTTCTAGCCCTTTGGAACACCATTACGGAATACATATGGCTTAGTTTGAGTTCCCAGTCCCCATTGAAATAGCATGACATCCTCAGTCAATTTAAGTGGTAAAGTCATATGTAAAGGTGCATTTTCTCATTTTCAGATTAACTTAATTAAGTGGAATTAACTTAATGCTTAAGGGGTCAATTTAAAAGTTATTTTGAGAACAAGAAAAAAAAGCACAAATCTGGCAAGTTAACTTATATGAGCCCTTTTTCTAAAGTTATAAATTTACGATGAAATGTGCAGAATATGCAGAATTTTTTACATGTTCATCACAAAAAGACTGTCTTGCATGTATACACTTCATCCTATGGACAATGAGACAGACTGAAATGCAATAGATTATGGTTTAAAAAAGTCAAAGCTATTGTTGTCATTTTTTCTTTCAACTTTTTACAATAAAGTGACATATGTGACATCTATGTGACTTGGCAGAGTGAAGGAAAGGGATAGATTTGAAAACTGAGCATTTAAGTTTAGATTCAAGGTAGCAGAGTAAAAAACACTTTTAGGCTAATGTAGCAGGAGACAGCAAGAAACATAACCTACCTAGTCAATACCCAATGATGAGCATGAAGAATTCCAATTACAAGTGTCAAGACAGTATTCCTTTCTACAGAAAGTCTCCAAAAGTCTTCTTTTGATTGAAAGAACTTGGGTAGATGCATTTGCATCATTAATAGGTCTACTGCATTCTGATATACCACTTTAACAACTTATGGCATGTTGTGTGTTGAGAGTTTACTGTTCATGATAGCATTTGGGAATGTTTAAATCTAATTCATTGATGGATTATTAATTGAAGAGGTTTTCTTGAAGTTGGGTTGCTTGTCTCTTCTCTGGTCTGATCATTGTCATCTTGTTAATGGTCATTTGCTCCTCTTTGCAAGACCCAAAAGGCTGTGAGGGGCATTAGTGATTTTTACTTGTCTATTGTGGGCTGCAGCTATAGTCTGCCTGACTGTAACTGTGGCCAACAGGGCAGGAGCATTAGTAGCACTTACAATGCCAACAGTCATGGCAGGTTGTGGGCCATATGTTGTGCACCCCTGCTCTAAATTGACTCATTTCCCCATAGGCCTACCCTACATTTGAGCCAAAGTGAAGTGACTAGATGATGTGGATGTTGCAGCTGCACTGCTGTGGTGCCAGGTCCCCACAAGACTGGTCTGGGAGCATCTTCAATGGCAAGGACAGACCTGAGCTGGGTGCAATTTCTGGGACCCTTGGGGCATTGGGTATCTACAATGTCCCACGTTCCTGCTGTCGGGATTCGAGTTCCCTGGACTGTGAGAGTGCCCGCAAGTTTGGCCCTCAGACCCTTGTCCAGAGTCAGGATGCCATCTACCAGGATGTATGTTCACAATGTCTGCTTTCTTATCTTTCTCTCCATTTGGTAGTATGTGGGACATACTTTAGCTGAGATTTTCAGTCTTGGCTAAATTAAGTGAGAATTTTTCCAATAGGTATTTTAGGGTTGTCCATGAAAGTAATTTTCCTTTTCATGTTGTCAGGGTTGCACTCAGAGGCTGATAGAGTTCCTCTTGGGCCACATGCCAGTTACCCTGGGTGTTGGGATCACAGTTCTTGTCATTGAAATCCTTGGCATGATCTTCTCCATGATCCTCTGCTGTGCCATTCGCAAGATCGATGACTTCAAAGCCTGAAAGTGCAAAAATGTATCATCTGAGGAAGATTTTTGTGACTGATGCAACAGCACTCTGTACACTTATTTCGACAGAAGATAAATTTTTTTCTTGCATGTTGTCACCAACCTGACTTGTTTCCCAGGCATGTCTGGGGTCAGGGCAGAGCTTCAATGTATGTGTTCAGCAAATGCTTGCCAATGTGTCAACTCTTCCAGGCTCTTTTTTTTGTTTCTGCTATGCTCCAGGGTGCCATTAACAAGAGAAATGGCAAGGAGTTTTTCCAGTCACCAGGTGCTTTGATCCCATATCCAAAGTATCCAACCTGGTTTTCTCCAGCAAAGGATTTTTCACTTTTCCACAGTACTTTTATAAATGCTTTTTTCATGCCAGAGATAATGTAAATATCAAGCTGTGGATTTGTGTATGTATGGCTCTGTGTGAGTGAAGATGATCAGGGGGATCTCCCAGTGAATCAAAGTTATGTATGCAAGAAAAGAAGAATCAAGATCTGCTCTTGCTCTCTGCAGGTGCCTCTCCTGGTTGTTTTTGTCCCTTTCATCAATCTCGTTGCTCTTGTCATTGTCAAGTATTTTAATCTCTTTTTCATGATTTCACCTGAACTTGGCTTTTGTGCTCCAGGTTCTTCTCAATCAACCCTCATACCCAAGATCTCTGTTAGCAATTATGTTTGGGACGTTATCTCTGCTTGTGAATTTTTTTTGTTTGAAGATTTTTAGAGAGAATCTCATTCAGGCTTACATCAGTTACATGGCTATTCTCATTTTCCATGACCTTTTCTTGATACACCTTTTGTTACTTATCTGCAATGCTTTGTTTCCTATTTTTGTAAAATGGGGTGGAGGACTGAGAAAGAACCAGTTTGATGCTGTCATTATTGGAGCTTAGTCATGCTGTCGTGAATCTCTCATGGAGTACCTACTCCCAATCATAATAAAAGCATACTTCAGTGGTCATCCAGGCTAGAGTTTAATTTCCCTCCTCTCTCCCTTCAACTTTTCATGTTGCACTTCAAGCAAAAGAAGCATGGGTTTAACTAATTCAATGTGTGGGGTGGAAATTGGGTGGGGAAAGCCATGAATGTGAAGACAAGAATAGAATTGAATGCAATGAAGGGTTGGATGACAAAAAATTCTTTGAAAGATTGAGGATGTAAGCAGTGCTTTCCATTACTGACATGTTGACATTACTGAGTGTTTTAAGAACCAGGATCTACCCAGCAAGACCCTGAAAGGTTTGATTATTTGAAATGTTGCACTTTTATGCAAGTGAAAATTTGAAATCACCTCTGATGACCATCTGGAAGCAACCCAAAAGCTACATGCCACAGTAACTTAATAAAACGTATGGAATGCAACAGCTTCCTGCAACAGAAGCAGGGAGGGGATGTATAAGGGCATGTTGAAATCATGGCAATTCCAGGAATTGATATGAAAATCAGGAACCTGCCTCATACAGGGTGTTTCAGTCACTTAGTCATCATTTTAAAATAATATGTCTTTAACACTAGAAGTACTGAGGAAATCATTTTGACTGCTGCCCAATTTTTAAGGCACTTCACTCTGCTCATTTGGCAACTAAGGGCCTCTGCATTTTTTTCCTAATATCAACATTTTGAACAGGCCAAATAACATCTGGAAAAAATGAATAAAATAATATTAAATTATAGTTTTATGCTACTTTTAATACAGCGGTGAAATTGAACATTCTGGTCCTTCTAGTGTAAAAGTCAAAGCTATCACACCTCTCCTACCATTTAATTAAATGACTTCAAATTTTTTTTGTGCTTTGGCAATTCTAACTTGATGTCATTCATGTATCAACATGGCAAACTACCCATTAACACATTAAACTTTGTGAGCGAGTCATCTCAAACGCTATTGACACATTTTCAACAGTGGTTTGTTGTGGCCCCCAACTAGTTCCGACAGCAACCCATGTGGCTTTTCCCTTTCGGGATACCAAGAAGAAAAAGTGTTCAAAAGAGCTACCTCATCAATCCCTGAACTGAAACAAGCAATAACAAACTGTATCCATGAAATTGGTGGTGAGCTGCTGGGTAGCTTGATGAACAACATGCTTGTATGTCTCTGTGCTGTCAACAATGCACGTGGTTGTCATATTGAGCATACCTTACACTGAACTGCTCATGAAAAAAAAAACCCTTTGAAGTCTGCTCTATATAGTGGCAGGTGAATTGCTGCTGTAGCTTCTACACATCAAAATATATTATTTTGAAATGATGACTAATTCACTGAGACACCATTATTCAATGGCATGTATTGTAGACACATGGAATTAAAATGAATTAAAAGCATTCGTTCTTAAACAGTGTCCAATTAGGTATGTATCAGCAAATGGCTGAGTGATCAATGGCTTTAGTAAAGGAGGTAATAATCTGAATTTTCAATTTGTTTCATGTGGTGATATGGGATATGGCACCATAAAAAAGTTTTACTTCAGAAAGTGGAAATGCCTAAAGTTTCAGCATCTTTTCTGATGCTAGGGATTGACCCTGCTGCTGGGTGGGGGGGGGACAGCGGCAGCCGCATTGGAAGTCTCTTTGCATGGATCACTGAAATAGCTAGGGCCAGCCCTGAAGAAAGCCATACCATTACAGTTTGTTTCTTTTCAAAAGACTCACTGGACAAAATTTAAAAAGCCAAGAATGGTCCTCATTGAGGAAGTCCTCTCCTAGTCTTCCTCCAACACAAACAAGTGAGAGGTTTGTCATGAAATCTCCTTTGGGGTACAGCTTTAGCAGCACCTAAAGTCCTTATGACATCACCATCAAGCAATCACAAAATATCATAAGAAAATTTTTACTTTCTTGGCCTTTCACAAAGGACGAGTCCAGGCTTCAGAATGAAAATTCCCTATTAGTTTTCTATTTTAGAAAACATTCTTCCCATTTTCCCATCCATTTCACAATATAAGCATGCAGAGGAAGGAGAGGAAGAGTCTAATACTTGGCTCACAGACTTATGTCATAGAGATTCCCATTCTAGGAGCAAATGCACTTAGGTAATGATAGAAATTACCCTGTATTTGGAATGAGTCACTATCATAATGACAGTCCAGCACCTTAGCAGCAAAGGTGTTTCAGATATTCCTTTTCAATTATGGGGGGGGGGGAAAGAAGAAATGATGAAGCCAAACTTTCTTTCTTTACAAGGTGATTGCATTTGGAACATTTATCTTTTGGTATAAAGTCTTAAAATTGGTATATTTATTCAATTCCTGATATCCTGATTGGTTACATCACAAGCAGAAATCCATCGATGATCTTTCAAATCCCTCACTTCATGCACAGCAAATTCAGGGTCATGAGTTTTGATTCATATAAGAATAGGAATGAGCAGACTCTCCAGAAAAAAAAAAACCCAGAAAACATCAGGCCACAAATAGAGTCAATCCACCAGGGAATGAAAAAGTAGTGCAGAAAGACTAAAAGAATACTGGGGAATGGAGATGAATTACAGAAGAGATACAAGCAGTGGAACACTATTAATGTGAAATATTCCTCTGGAGGTACATGCAACATGAATGTAGAATGTGATATTCCTTTAAGACAAAAAAGGACTTTCTTGGGAGCAAAGAATAAAAAAGCAGCACCTCTAATTGGATGGATAATGATACATTTTGATGAAACATTATCAATAAAATTTAAAGTTCATTAGGCTTCTTTGCTCAAAGTACAATTCCTTGTAAATCTTCCATTGGCCACTGCAAAAAGAAACTTGATCAATAAAAACCTGCCTTTATCAATTTGAAGTCAGGGAAACAGGGTTATATAAAATTTATGAGCAATTTATGGTTTGATTCATCATGTCATTTTCAAAATGTGAGCAATCTTGCGAAGTCATTGGAGATTGGGTCATGTGACTCCAACCCCTCATAAAAATTGACAGGGCAATTTTGTTCTATAACCCTTTAAATCCCATGCCTGTGTATACTTGTGATGGCCTCCTAGGCTGTATCATCCAAAGCCCAAGTATACTTGTTTTAGAGTTTCCCATCTTCATCCCATGCTTGAGTTTTCTTGTTCTAGTTCCATCACCAGTAGGCATAGAATTTGTTGATAGGCAATAAAAAAGACCAAGTTAGCGCTCAATTTGGTGAAGCCTCCAGGAGTTCTGAAAGACTCAGGATGAGAGCATGTGCAGCTTCAGAAACATTGGATTTCAAGGGGGCAAGTATAGGGGCATGGAAAAAAAACTCAGGCAAACCCCTTTATGGCATGCATGGGACATGAGTCTCAAAGAGTGACTTGCATTTGCCTCTATAAGTCAGTGTTCCAGAAATGGACAGTCATCAGAAATAATACCAATGAATTGGGAGCCTGGGTCAATGGAACCATCATGATGAGAAGGAACAAGATGCCAAGATTAGAAGAGCTGATTGTGATAAAGAATGATAGTGAAAGGAACAGCATTTACCCTAACTTAGTTAATCATGTGTAATTGATTGTCATGTACTTGTACAAGTATTGCATATATTGATGTGAAACAAAGTAGATAAAAAAAGTAGTAAGTGAAGAGTGAAGCAGATGAGCATTTATGTATATGTCTTGGCCTTTACATTCAATTCCCATTAGTTACATTCTAACTTTTACCTTACACTCCTTCAGATGTGATCTCCCCAGATAATTCGGGTAAAAACCAGAATCTAATTGCTCATTGATATATGCAAGGTCTAATGCAGGGGTGAGGCTGAAACAAGGTTTCAATCTCTCTTTTCAAGTAAGAGAAGAAACTGGTCAGATACAAGAATCTCGCAATTTTGCATCTCAAAATGGCTATTATGTCTCCAGCAGCTATAACTATGAGGAATGACAAAGTAGTTGATCTTACAAAATAATTGCAATCCCGAGCATTTTCAAGAGAGTAACAATTTGTCCATTTCTCAGGCCAAAGAATTACACAGTAATTGAGAGATATTTACCATTGCACCCATGAGCTGAGGCTCTCAACTTCCTGGAGCAAAAGCAAAGGGTCCTCACCTAAAAAAAAAAGATTTAAAACTCTTGCTCCCCTGAGAAATGGAGAAGTTGCATATAACAGACTTTCTGACATTATCTACAATAAATTTAAACTGCAAGATAGGAGACTCCTGGACATCAAACCAATCAGAACCTTGTTACCAATGCGCAAAACTCATGGTAATTCAAGGAGCACATACCTGTAGATACAAGAGTATCACCACCATTGACAAGAAATGTATGATCTGCATGACCACTCAAATACAGTACTACTGATGATGATCTATAACTCCCACTCCTTCACAAAGTATTCTTCTATCTCTCAGGATTTGGTAAATTCTCCTCCCTATTGATGTATCAAGACTGAAGCATCACCATAATTCTCATGAAAGGGAAAAATATATACCTTAAATGGTGTCACTTGATAAAATGTAAAATAGCCACAGGACTTCTGCATTTCTCTTAAAATTATGAGCACATAAAACTTGATATTCATACAAAAATTTCTCTCAAAGTTGCAGCGGTACATTGAAGTTGTTGAACGTTGAAGAAGTTGAGACAAATGAAAGAGCATGAAAAGGCATGGAGAAAAATCACAGCCCAGAGTGAGATTCAAGAGCAATTCTTGATTTCCACAGTTTCTATTAAAGGCATTTCAAGTTATTTCAGAGCAATTTATATATTTTTTAAATAGCAAGAAATGAAGCATCTACAGATTGGTCATCTTTGTCTCATCTCTCAATAAAAAGAGACACTTATATCCAACCAGAAAAAAAACCACAGATGTATCAGAGATGAAAACCACTGTGAAAAAATCTGTTATGAGAGGGGTAAAGGTTTGGAGATGATGCTGAAAAATACAATGTGGTGAGTTTCAATTGGCGGAGTAAAGGAATGTAGCAGATGAATAAGGTATAAGTGAGGATCAGCCATTCATGAAAAGAGGAATTCCACTTGGAATGCCTCTCGGAAGACCTTCCATGTCTTTGGCTTGTGAGGATTATCCAGATCCTCCCTCTTCAGCACCAACCTGAGGAAATGTGGGGGAAAAAAAAGGAAAGCCATCCTGAATAGAATGCCAAAAGGTATAGTGATAAGGAGACAGGGAGAGGAGGAATTGAATAACATTAAAATATCATTACCGATAGCCTTCAATGAAGGCAGTATGAAACCAGCAATAGAAGGGCACTCTCTCATACCCAATTGGCACTTTCCTCTGAAATGAAGAAAGAAATTAATGTGAGCATAATAAAAAAAAATTCTGCCTTTCCTTATGGGGAAAAAACCAGCAGTGTCTATTGTGAGCAATTCATTTCTCTTGCTTTGATATGAAAGCCATTAGGAGCAACTTAGGAAAACTCTAAAAATGAAGAGCAAGAAGACTGCCTTTCCGCAGAAATATATAAGTAAAATACAAACTTTACTTGCCAAAATTCAGAGGGTCAATGACTGTATGCAACTCCAATTCACATCCACTAGAGAATTACACATGAAGCATGACTGCCTTGAGGTTAGGAGTACTTCTAGAGGAGATCTCCAACTACATACTCAAGCAGTGCTTAACAACCAGTGTGCAGTGGCACACCAGTGTGGGGTGGGAAAGGTTGAGAAGCACTGTACTAGAACAATTAAATTTCATGAAAATACCACAGGTATCCCAAGAGAGGGGAGGTCTCAGGATCATTCTAAGTACTCCAGGCAGGAAAAATCTACACCCAAGAAGCTCTACAGGGTGACCAGAAAGTCCTGTCCATCAGGATTTTTGCTACAGCTTTTTTAATATTTGCCTCTGAACAACAAGTCAGCAACTGAAGGAGCACAATAGTCTTAGCAACACAACAAAATTACCCGTATTCAAAATGACCACCCCTTGCATCTATACAAGCCTTATGACGGTGCGGGAAGTCATCAACAACTTCATATAGCTAGATTTCGGTGATCTCATTCCACACTTTCAGAATAGATGCTTTCAACGAGTCCAGATTTGCATGTTGTGTTGCAGAGACCTTCTTCTCCATTATAACCGTGACTGCATAATCCAGCGGATTTATATCAGGCAAATTCGAGGGGTAAGCATCTTCATCCCAAAACGTAGGAAGCAACTGTCTGCAATGTGCTTTCGTGGACTTCGCTCTGTGTGATGGCACCCAGTTCTGCTGAAGTGTCCACTGGGCTTCTTCGAAATGAGAGTCCACCCATGGCTTCAGCACATCCCAAAGGATGCATTCCCAGTAGATTTTGGCATCGACTTTGGCCCCTTTCTCAACGAAGACGAGTGGCATCTTTCCATTTGCGGTGATTCAACCCCATACCATCACAGAAGCTGGGAACTTCTGCCATGTGACAAAAGCTGTTTCTGGACGCTCCTTCGAGTTCTTGGCAACAGAATCCGGTCATTTTGGACATCAAACATCTGTTTTAGGGTGAAGATCTTTCCGTCTGTGAAGATGACATGACGATGTTGAAGAACACTGGTCAACCGCTTCAGCTTCTTCACTTTTGCCAATCAATTCTTCATCATGGCCTCCATTAAGAGATGTCACTTTCACAGCTTGTATAGGCGATATCCAAGAGCCTCCTTACACCAAATTCAAGCTGATTCTTGCTTCAAACCGGTGCTGCGGGCCATGTCCCGCATAGTCTGCTTTGGTTTTCACTGAATTATGATTTTTAGCATCATCCGGTTTTCAGGAGTGTTGGCGGCTCTCGGCCTTCCACTTCTTGGACGGTCTCCTTCATGCCCCAACTCCTTGTAAGGGTTAATGGCACAGATCACAGTTCTTCTGTATGCACCAAGTGTCTTTGCGATATTGTTTGCCCTCATTTTTGCCTTGTGCAAACGGATGATTGCAGAACGCATTTTCTTATCCATCAAAAAATGCAAAAGAGTGACGCTACAGAAATGAAACTTTTCACACACATAGACAATAATGTCAGGAAGCACAACTGCATTAAAAGATTGCTGGGGCTTTTTTATTTATTTAGTTAAAATTATGGAACAAAAGTGGACAGGACTTTCTGGTCACCCTGTATTAAGAAAAAAGTTAAAGGAGGCAGAAATGCATACCGAAGTGCAACGGAAGAGGACTCTAATCTCTCCTGTCAGAGGAGGGCAATTGAGGAGCTTCACCTCCAGGCAATCTCTCTCAGTATTGTATACCGTCTAGGTAGAGCATGATCATCATAACAGAAACTTCACATGGAATCTGAGACATACTATGATAAAACAAACAAGGGGAGATGAGACAAAATGCTTACCTCACAGTTCTGCTGTGTGCCAAATGTGGCTGTGAAGACTGTGTTTCTTCTTCCCTGGTCAATCTCAACAGAGAAATCAGATCCATCTCCTCTTCCAACTCCCATCAGACCATTAATGTTAATTCCACATAAACTGAGGGTCACTGGCTTTGGAAGTTGCAGTCCATTAGCATGTACTTTTTCAAAGTACTCCACAAAACGGCACTGCAGGAAACAAGTGATGAAAAAAGGTGAAGATTGAAATTTTCCCTTTACCTTGTGCCTGACCTAGTATGAACTTTTTTTTTCTCTTTTACAAATGTTTGGCGTGAATAGCATTTTCCCTGCAATTAATATAAGGGACACATGTGCTAATTAAAACTCTATGATTCACTAAGGAATCACTGTGGAAGCAGAATGGACAGACTCACCTGACTAGGAGTCTCGACGCCCTGGAACTTGTGTCCCACATTTGAATCTGTCCTTCTCCTTCCAAAATAGTCCAAACAGGCCTTTGAGTTGGCAAGGAGACCCTTACGAATGAGCCAGACGCAGACCAAGGTCCCTGTTCGTCCTTTTCCCCCCTTGCAGTGAACAGCAATCACATTCACTGGGTGTGCAATCATCCACTGCTCTGCATCTTCTACAAACCCCACCATGTCCCTGAAAAAAGTTGGATGAGAAAAAAAAGCAGTTGGAATGATGCCCCTGAGCTTATTTTGAACAACTGGAGGAAAATAATTCACAAGGGCAAATTTTTTTTAAAACCTCAGTATCAAGATATCTTTGAAATATGCAATCAACACCAAGCACTCACTTGACAGTTTCTGTATCTGATGACTAACTCCCAGCTTCATACCATTATCATATCATATTAAGAAAAGCTATGATTTATTTCAGAAGACCATATTATGTTTGAATCACATGACTCCACCCAGGGAAATATTATTTCACCAATTTTGTAATGTTTTCATTACAAAATACATGTTTACAAAAACAATCTGTTATTTTTGGAGAATTTGGTGGTGTTCTTTGCCTCCTGGACCATCAAATGTTCTGTTCCATGTGAATAAAAATACAACATTTCAGTCTAGTCAAAGGATTCATGAGGCAAATTTTTGATAGTGTGTTGTATTTTATAGCTTCTAAATTTTCAACAAACACCAGTTCCTTTGCCTATTACCATAACCCTATGTTCAAAGACAGACCTCATGAGAAGCTTCACGCCTAGGCTTATTAACGTTCACTTACTTATTATTTTCATCCTCAGTCAGGACAGTATATTAGCATTTTCAAAATTTGAAAGGAAGTAAAATGCTTAAAAAATCTAGTTCAGTCTCAATTTTCTGCAAATGAAAGTTGGTGAGGATGCCAATTATACTCAGTGCTGTCTTTTCCTTGGTTTTGACATTTGTGAGTCCGAGTAGTTGGTAGGGCAACACCCAGGTATTCATATGCTCTCTCCCAGCCATTTGGTCATTGCTCAATGTGAATGGTGCAATGACCTTGCAGCGACCCCCCCCCCCCCCCCCCTTCCTGAATATTATTCCTTGGTTATGGAGAGATTCATAGTTACTCTGTTGCCATCAGTCCAGATCTGAAATACTTTGATGGTCATCTGCACTTCACCCAGTTCATGGAATACATGACAAGGTTGCCTGCATACAGTATGACGTGAACTGATAAGGCTTCTTGCTTCTGGGCTGCTAGGATGTCACTAGCAAATATCAGAAATAGGATAAGATTTAGGCCTTTCCTTTGAAGTATGCCCTATGTTTGGGGGATTACATTGGAAATTCTCAGGTCATCATTGACCACTTTCTGTAGGATGTCATGGATGAGGCCAATGATGCATCTCTTCATTCCCTTAAAAGGTTGTAGATTTGGATACACCTATTGAATGTGTCAAATGCCTTCTGAAAATCAATTAAGTCTGCATAGAGAGATCCTCTGGTAATATTGAGACAGTTGGCTATGGCATCAGTGAGGAGTCCATTCAGTTGAATGGCTACTCCTGAATCCACATTGTTACAAAGGGAATTCAATGTTATGTATTATGTTGTAATTGATCATCCCTGTTAGGAGCAATGGTGTTAATAATTGGGCTATTCTGCAGTTGGTTTTAATATCATCAATCTCCCCCTTTCCTTTACATTGGGTATTTAGCTGTCATATATGTCAGCTTTCAGGGAGGGATGTTGAGACCAAGATGACATTGTAGAGGTTCAACCATCTTCTGAGAGAATATGAAGTGACCTTTAATTTCAGTTGTGATGAAGTCTAATCCAGGTGCTTTCCAACTAGACATCTGCAGAAGCATTTGTAGGATTTCCTCCACAGAGAAGGGGTGGTTGTACCATGCTCTGAGGTCAAGGTTCTCAGGGCGTAGAGCTGTCATGAAATCTGTCTGAGGGTTAAAGGCTGAAGGTTAAATCAAGTAGTCAACCCATTGTTCCTGTGAAATTGGAGCAGGTGTGGAGTTTGGCATCCCCGAGAGGAGAGCCCAAGGAGTGATGTTACTTTGTTCAATCTTCCTTAGAAACTCAGTATCCTTGTATCAGACTTTTGCATTCCTAAGGGGGGCCTTGTATTCTTGTCGGACCTGGTTGTATTGGTCAGGGGAGTTTACCCAAATGGGGATAGCTGAAGAACCTGCATGGCTCTTTCTTTTCCCTGCACACATTTTTGAACAATTTATTGTCTCTGTCATAGGGTTTTGTGGAATTCAAGGGGACTGCAAATCCTGGGTAATACAGAAATACTCACAAAGTTATGTCAATGTCACTTCACCCTAGTGAGATTCTATATCTCTCTGGCTTGAAAATTGCCCTTCCCATGGCTTAAGCTAAATTTTGTTTCTCCCTAGGGAGATTCAAAATCCCCCTGAATTTCAAAAAATTCTATGACATATACATGTTCATTTTGATTTATTTTTAGGACATCAACAATGATGCATGTTAATATTCCAAGTTTCTTTCCAATGTCCATAGTGGTAAAGGCCTTTGGGGGTTGTCTGAATAAGGGATGTCATCAAAATCCACATTCCTTTTTCATGCATGGGGAATTTTCCACTAATTTGTGTCTTTTCACTTGCCAACTGTTGTAATGCATTGATGTTTCCAGTTGGCTGATATTTGGATCTTGTGTTCAGTAAGGGTATCATGGTGTTGGAAAGGACTATATCAATGCAACTGGAGCAATTTGGGGCTATATAGGTTGAATTCTCAGGACTGTTGACCATTTCTAGTCTGAGGGAGTTCATCAGATGTAGTAACTCCTGTCCCTTTGTGATGGGTTACACAGCAGTTGAAGTCACCCATTACTATTCTTAGGGTGGGGTCTTGTTTGCCTGTGCTCAGGGCAGTTGCAATTTCTTGTCCAATATCAGCTGATTCCCAGCTGGGTGGAAAGTAGAAACAAAACACTACCCTGATGGTTGTGGAGATAGCAACATGCTGGAGGGATATCACCATTAGTTCAGGTTTGAGTTCTAGTCTTGCTGACATGGTGATATCTCCATGGGGTCTGCCTCTTCTTTCCATGATTGCATAGCTGTCAAATGTGTAAAAGCTTGGTATACATGATGGCTTGGAGTTGCACACAATAGTCTCTGAAAGGCATGGTAGGCTCACATTTGGAAATAAGTTGGTTTCTGGGCAGTGAGAAATTGCTGCTTTTAGTTGTTCAGAGTAGGCTAGTATGGGTTTTATAGTCATTCCATTTCCCTGCATGTTTTCCTATACTCTTGGCTGGAAGCAGCTCAAATGATTTGTGGAGGGAGAATAGATTTCCTTCTAAACAGGTTTTCTTTATGTTCCACCTAGCATGATTAAGAAAGTGAATGAATCCAGAGAGACCCGGGTAGTTGCATCTAGAGAGACCCGGGTAGTTGCATCTCAAGGAGCTGGTTTTTCATTTGGGACCTTCCCATGAACTTGACGGGCAAGTAAATTCCTTTTATTAAATCTCCCTTTCCAATGACTTCTGCAAGTTCTACTCCAAGTCCTTCAGAGATGTCTTCCTCTGCACCACTCCTGAGTTCCAGGCTTGCCACAGATCAAAGCTATTCCTGACAAATAAGTTGACAAGCTTTCTGCTTTTGCTATATAAGGCTTCTTCTCAATCTTTCCTATAGCAAGAACTTCATTGCTTGTATGACTGATTTCCTTCTTTTTTCCAGAAGACATTCATTTTCACTCTCTACAACATAAGAATCAGATTTTCAGTAAAAAAATATATATATATAGGGTGTTTAAAAAAAGATGCTCCACTCATTTTCTATGGGGGATAGATAACACTCATTCCCATAGGTAAAAAAATCAGACTAGGCTTTATCTGACAAGCAGTTTAATATAGGCTGTGAGTCATTGATAAAATGTGGGATTTAGCTTTTTGGTGTCAGATTCACTCCAACATATAAAGATTGGTCCTACCCTGTTAGAATAATACAAATTTTATGCAAAATTCTGATGTGAAGGTACAAACATTAGAATCTTTCCTCACATTACTCTTCCCTTCGGATGCTGGACTGAACATGCATTGAATGTTACAAAGCCAATACTAAATCTTGACTATTAGAGCAATGTACCTGTCTCTTCCTGATCCCTCCTTCATACCTGCTCTGCTTAAAGTTCTTGGAGCACAGAATTCAAGAACACATTACTTTAGGGTTACTTTACTTTCTGGTTATTGCAGAAAGAAAAAAGAAAAAAAGAATTGACTTTGATTTAGTTTTCCAAAGACTGACCCAGACCAGTATTTTAATCATCCTATTTCATCATTTTGTATCAAACATGCCTAGAAATTATTATGTTAAATTCAGATTTTGCCATTTTAAAGGAATATTGATTTGGATTAAATGAGAATCTCAGAAAAAATCAGATGTAGATTTTTATGGATTTTTATTTTATGAGAATACCCCTAAGAAGAAAATTGTCATTTCCCCATAGGAAAAGGATGGAGCGTCTTTCTTTAAACACCCTATATATTCCTCCTTTTACATAAATTCTAGCATTGGTCTGAACTTTAACTTGAGTGAGAAACATACATTTCTTTTTAGGCTGCAATTAGATATAAACTAAATTTATTCAAATTCTAATATAAAAAGCAAATTTAGATTCTCCCCCATATTGCATAACAACATACTTTCATTAGTATGAAATGTTCTCAAGTGATAGTTGGATATTTCCTAAAAATAAAAACCATGTATTAGATTTGGGAAAAAGTATCTGGAATTTTTTGTGGGTTAAGCTTGAGGGGTTCATGCTGCGCTGCCTAAGCTTGTTCTGTGGTTATGTTATATATGAAAAGAAAGACACTGAAAAGCTCTGTAAAATGTTGTATATCTGCTGTGTATAGCTTTCAGGCAAAAGTTTTCCCGCTCGATTGAAAAATGCGGCTCAACTACCACATCCATCATTGCTTACTTCTACAGTTCGATAAGGGGCGCAACGCAAACGACGTGGTCCGTCGCATAAAGAAGGTGTACCCCGATGCCTGTTTAAGCAAATCCACGGCATACAAATGGTTTGAGAAGTTTTCACGTGGAGATCGAACTCTTCAAGATGAACTCCATTTTGGACGCCCATCCATCATCGATGACGATGCGCTAAAGTCCACGATCGAAGATGATCCGCACCAAACCACGTCTGAATTGGCGAGCAAACTCAGCTGCAACTGTACAACCATGTCCAATCACCTTCACACCATGGGAAAGGTGTGCAAACTGGACAAATGGGTCCCTCACAAGTTGTCCGAAACTGGGAAGATTCAAAGAGTGACCATTTGCTCATCTTTGCTGTCATGTCACAAGGAAGACCCGATGTTTGGCCGGATCATCACGTCAGATGAGAAGTGAGTTCTGTGGAACAACCAACGAAGATCATACTCTTGGCTGGACCCTGATGAACCCCCGAGCAAAATGCCAAAACCCAACCTACACCCAAAGAAGGTCCTTTTGTGGATTTGGTGGGCCCGATTCGGCATAGTGCACTATGAGCTCCTTAAGACCAGCCAGTCCATCAATGCAGATGTCAACTGCACACAACTACAGTGCGTCCATGAAGCCCTGCTTAAATCCCGGGTCAATTGGTCAATCGAAAAAAGGTCCTCTTCTTGCACGACAATGCAAGACCACACGTCGCCAAAAAATCCAGCAAAAAAAAAAAAAGGACCTCGACTGGCAAGTTCTGCCGCATCCACCGTATTCACTGGACGTTGCACCATCGGACTACTACCTATTCAGGTCGCTGGACAACTTCATGTGCAAGAAGCAGTTCCCGAACTGAGGTGCACTCAAAAACGCACTTGATGGTTTCTTTGGCTCATGGGATGCAGTGTTTTGGGAGAGAGGAATCGATTCTCTTAAGGAAAGATGGGAAAAAGTTATAGATTGTGAGGGAGATTATTTTGATTGATAATGTTTGTTGCATGAATAGTTACAGGGGGTCAAAGATATGAGTCGAGAAGTTCCGGATACTTTTTCCCAGACCTAATACTTGAGCTTGTCTATTTTTCAGGTCATTACAATTTGCAGCATTGCAGGAGAGCATGGCCAAACCTTTAGGAAATGGACATACCAACAAGATCTTGATTTCAAGAATCTTGATTTCCCTGCCAATGCACTTTTACACATTGATTTGTGACTTCTTCCACAGTCATGAAATGAAATGAACGTATCCCTTTAACATTTCTACAAGTGACATGTCAATCAAATCTTAGTAGGTGAAATTATATTAAACTCACTTCAGCGTTGGGACATTGTGGTCATCAATGAGAAACCGTTCTACACGGTTATGGAAGAAAGTCTCATCATAGCTTCTCTCACTGCATGTGTTGTACACTTTATAGTGATTCTTGTGCTTTGTGTCCAGGAACTTGGCCACTTCCTGAAGGCAAGACAGACAAATATTCAGAACTTTGCTGATGTGGAAACAGATATGAGAACAATTTATGGATCATACACAATACAAAAAAATTAAAACATTCTTCCTGGAGATTATTGGAATGAATATATGTCAAGGAGGATTTCTTTACTGAATAATACTGATTGCCTAATTCCTCATCCACTGTAGAGGAACATACTGTATAAATCCTTCTTGCCTGATTGATTGTTTCCAAATTCTTTTAACTTCTTACCTTTGCTTTATTTATCTGTTACCTGATAAGTTGAGGATCATCATCCAATTTCAATGAGAACACAGCCTGATGCTGAATGGTAATACTTCACTTGACATTTTTTCTTGGTACTATTGAGACCAGTGTAGGAAAAATATATACACTACCCTCCAAAAAGTATCTGGACACACGCCGGTTTCACATTGACATCACTGCCACCTGCCTCAATAAAGTGTCTGTCCCCCTTTGGTTGCCATGACACACTCCACCCTCCTGGGTAGGCTTTCCACCAACGAATGATAGACTGCGGCTGGTATAGTCCGCCATTCCTCCTGCAGAACAGTGACCAGTTCAGCTACCAATGTAGAACATGTTGGTCTGGCCCTCAACTGACATTCCAGTTCATCCCATAGGTGTTTGAAGGGGTTCAAATCGGGACTCTGCACCAGTCATTCCAACTTTTATACATTCATGTCCATGAACCACTGTGTAACAGCACCTGCGGTATGGCATGCGACATTATCCTGTTGAAACAAGTATGGGTCTGTACCAAAGACCTGCCACATTGTAGGGAGCATAGAATTGTCCAAAATGTTAAGGTAGGCTTCAGCGCTCATGGTTCCCGGCACAACCACCAAAGGTCCTAGACCATACCATGAGAAACAACTCCACACCATAACACCACTTCCTCTTAACTTCATTGTTGGCACAATGCACTCCAGCATCAAACATTCTCCAGGCATCCACCACACCCACCCATCCAATTGGAAAAGGGTGTAGCGAAATTCGTCACTCCATAGAACTGATTTCCACCACTCTATGGATCAATCACAGTGTTCTTTGCACCATGCAAGGTGAGACCACTGATTGTGTTTGGTGATGCTTGGCTTATGCGTTGCCACTCTCCCATGAATGCCGAGGCTGTGGAGCTTGGTACATAGGGTGCTCATACAGACCTCAACCCCTGTTGATGCCTTAAACTCCTGGTTGATGTTTTGCAGGGATGTGTGGTGAGATTTATGTGCCACCCTTCCAAGTACCCTCCGGTCATGTGGGGTGAGCTTTCATGGTCTTCCTGTGTGTTGCTGGACAGTGGTGGTATCGTCATGCTTCCATTTCATGATAACATCACTGATGGTCGACTTTGGATGGTGCAGGCTGTCTGCAATTACATGAATTGACAGGCCAGCAATGTGACATCCAACAATCACACCCATCTTGAAATCAGTCAGCTCGTCTCCATGTGCCATGACAAGAACCACTAAATTGTGGGGGGGTCATTGCCTTCCTTATATACTGGTCTGAGTCACGTGTTTTGACGGGAAGGTGCATTGGACTATGAAAACAAAGGTGTCCGGATACTTTTTGGAGGGTAGTGTATATCTTCTCCCACAAACCTAAAGGGACAAATTGGAATTTCCAGGGAAGGATATGCAAGCAGACTAACTGGGCTGCCCACCATCTCTGGTCTCATGAATCTTGTTCGCAGATTTGCAAGGGTTTTCCTAACCTGATTGAGACTAAGGTCAGCAAATAGATATATGCTCCACACAAAATGAACATGCCATCTATCTTTAGTTGCTAGAAGGTCAGTCAACTAAAGCCAGCTGGGATAGGATCTGTCTGTTTTGAAAAAACAAGCAAACATGGGCTGGGAGATCAGCAATCCATTAATCCCTTTTGACCATGAAAGAAAAAAAGTCTACACAGAAGTTTCACTCACTCTTATCGGGTTCCTGTAGAAAGACATTCGTCCTGATGAAGGGAAACTCATTGCTATCACTTTGTCTGTCACATATGTCAGGTCCAGATCAAATCCATCTTGCTGGTATCTACATAAGAAGAAATAACCCCATCAGATTAAATAAAATAACTAAAAAATGGAACTAATACCTCCATCATTTCAAGGATACCAACTACTCTTCCCATGACTTGTTCTCTCTCTGGCCTTTCTGAAATTTGAGCCAACTGGATTATTTACTGATCCAATTTGAGCCTGGATCAGTAAAAAAATCCAGTCTTTTTAGATTTTGTGCAAGCATAGAACCCTCATTTACATATGCTTACATATTCACATAATTTTTATTATGGAATGGGTACATAATTATAGACCAAGTTGTATTAAATTGCTCAAGCATACACCTCTATAGATGGTGGCTTATACATAAGTATGCATATCCAGAATTCTGTCTGCTCTCTCATGATGGAACATAAATCCTCCATTAACTTCCCAAATACCTCCATTTATTGTTCTTCTGCCCTCAGCTCACATGCAGACTGAGAAGCAAACAAAATTAAATAGTTGTGCTGTTAAGAATCAGGAAACTTATGGGTGGTCTGAAAGCAGGGATTCCAATCCCAAGTAGAAGCACAGATAAAAACCAGGATACATTGATTACTACTAAATGTAAGCAAACAACATTGCTCAAGATGAGCTTTCTTACTTGCCACGCAAAAGTAAATGATGAGTCGCTGTAGGCATGTAAATGCAGAGTAGAAATGACTTACTACTGCTTATTATTTTTTAGAACATTGAGGATTAATAGGCAACTTTCTTTCATGACATCTTCAATAACCCTTCATTCAAGTCTCATGTTACACTACAAAAAAAAAGTGATTGAATAGCAGCAAATGAGATAGACCCTTCCATATGCCCTTAATCACTTTGCTGAGACCCCCTAGAGTCATCATGGGGCAATTTCAGCTTCTTTACTGGTATGAACCATTATGTTATCACTAAAACTTAATTTTTAAAAATGATCTGATTTCATATCAATTGGCTTTGTAGAACCACATGAAGTGCTTTCCTTACCTGCGTTTATTTTGGGATACCATGAGCCGAGCACCAGCTTCTACATGCTTCTTCTCTGTGATGAGTCGACTTAAGCGAATCACTCTCAGCAGACGCAGAAGCACTATAACCCTGTTGGCAACAAAAACATGGATGAGTGGAAAACTTATTTTTCAAAAGGAACTAGGCAAGCTATAGTTAAAAATATATTTTTTGTTACTTTTCTGTGATGTCAAATGAAAATAAAACAATATATCCCAGAACAACAATGAACAACACTTCTTGTCTTACTAGCCACATCTAATCTTGTCTCACTTCCTCTCTATCCATTTTTAGGGAGCATAAGCTACCTTCAGTTCTACTTAGTTTGATGAGCTTACTTATAGATACTGGAGTCCTTAGGCACTATTGCTTTGAACTTACCAGAATGATAATAAAAAGCACAACACTTCTCCAATTACTCTATTTTTTCATAGATAGTGGAGAACAGTAACATATTGGTGACATTTTATGAGGACACTCACAGTGAAAATGCTATCATATAATAAAACTGAAAAAAGATGAGCCATTTCATTGATTCATCAATGAAGGAACTAATACCTATATTAAAGTTATTTATAACACTGCAGTAGAAGAGGAAGGGATGAACTAGAAGTAATAAATGCCAATTGGAGGAATGAGGGCTTTGCATTCGGTGTACTTTTCTTATTCTATCTTAATTTGTAAAGAGAACAGAGTTGGTGTCATAAAGTATAAAATGCTCAAGTAGCTGCAGTGATCATACAGACAGCAGTTTTAACAAATGAAAAAACCAGAACTCATATATAAAGTCTGCTGATTTTCCTAGCCAAGAGAAATTTTATGTACAGAATGGGCAAGGGAGCAATTTTTATATGAATATTTAGGCAGAGAGAATGATAAAAATTGTAGTCCCTTGTGATAGCAAATTTTCACTCTTTAAAGAAAACAGACAGATAAGCTTGATACTATTTTTTCAGCTGTCCCAAATGGATTTTGCCTGTTTCAGTGATTACTCACCTTGCAGTAGTAAGATAGCCATGATCAGTGCGGATCACAGATTCCACTACAGCCAAGATAAAGGTTACCACAATGATAACCAGATCAACAATGTTGTACCAGTGGTAAAGAAACTGCTTCCTGAAATGGAAACGGCAACTATGATAAAATCCTGACCTCACTCAAAATAACAGGAAGAAAAAAAGAACCACAACTAACTGTAAGGCAAGGATCCTCAAAGTAATTTCGAAGAGGAAAAAGGAGGAAAAGATGATATTGAGGGTTTCAAAGGTGAGAGTGGATCCCAGAGGGCGCATAGGGGATGCAGTGGCTAGGTCTGCAATGAGGAGGCATATATCTGAAAGGATCACAATCAGAGTCAGGAGGCGAAAGAACAGGTGTTGGATTAGCCGTCTCAATCTCCATGAGATATACCTGCAACATAGAACATGACAAATAACAAAGAATAACTTTCCATCATTGCTTGCTTTCATTCACAACATTTTCAACAATGAAACATCTAGTCCAAAGATGCTCAAACTATAACCCACAAGCCATAAATAGGATTCATGACTTCATCAATAATCTGACGAAAGGCCAAGTATGCAATTCAGAGCAAGATTTTTCTCTTTTTATTTTAGACTGCAGAATGAGGAAAAGGGAATGTTGAACTTTGCATCAAGAAGCTGAGAGTCTTAACTCTATTAGAAAGGCATTTTCTTGTTCTTATAGGAATGTTCAGATGGCATATTTATCCTATTTTCTGATTCCTGAAAACTTCATTTTTCTCAAGAACACTGTCTCAAAGAAAACAAGATCAGAAGTATAAGTGGGTGTGATTAATTCAAGTTTGAGCTAAGGTCTAGAAAAGCAAATAGGAAAAAAATCAAGGTACATGAGACCTGCAATTTCATAATGTTTTAGCACCGCCATGTCTAGTCAATCTTCATTCACAATAAAGATTATGAACCCATGGAACTAGTTAAAATGACTGTTGCTACATATCACTGGCTAAAAATATCAACACCACAGCAAATACCTGTATATTAACTACACATGTTATGAAAGCTTTGGCAAAAAAAATTCTAATTTCAAATTAATTTTCATGAAGGTACCAAAAGAAGCTATTTTGTAAACTTTCAAAAAAAGGTAATTTCATAGCTAACTTGGGTTTTCTACAAAGTGAGAGCAATTATTTTTTTTTAAATGAAGCCACAACAGGTAAGAAGACAGACAAATAAAAAATTGTGATGAAACATGGTCAATGTTATGATTTGGAATCTAAATTTTCAAGATATTCTCAGTTGAGAAAAAACCTACATTTAAAAAATATTACTGCTTTTCTCAATTGGGAACATGTTGAATATTTTAGGAAAAATCTTATTCCCCACACAGTGAGTCTTCAGTCATTACATCAAAATTAATCAGGCATGTCTCCCAATCAGAAGTGCAGTGCAGTGAAGGGTATAACTTCACCAGCATAACTTCAATCAGATTAGGTCCATCAGTATGGTTCCAATGCCCAATAACTAAGCAACAAAAATATTCATAACTTGTTTCACATTTTCAATTTCCCAAAACAATACTAGCAATAATAACTAGAAAATCAAAATCTCCTCAACCAACTGTGAAGTTAACTAAAGGAACATTATTTATTTATTTATTAAAGAATGGAGATTTTCTATAGAAATTTGGGATCCTTCTTATATTTCCTTGGTAAATACTGATACTGACTAAACACATGTACCTGGATTATTAGTCTTCAGCTTTATTTCCTTGCACAAAAAATAGCATTCCTTGACCCAACTCCTGAACTCCCATCTTGGCTAGGACTGCATGATATAGACATTAAAGAGATCAATCATTTCTAGTTCCATGGTGTCGGTGGGGGGGAAACTGTCCCAATTTAGGTTCTCCTCCAGCAATATTCTACAATGTAGGCCTAATAATTTAAGGGAATGCATGGTGCACTGTTTATTACAGTTTCTGTGCTTTGACTTTCCTTTGTCTATCAGCCATGCATGTATAAAAAAAATATGCAGGGTAATAAACTCATAAAGAACATGGCAATTTATTAATATTTTTCTGATATGAACATATATCAATGCTGTGATGCCATAAGCACAGCCTTAATTTTTACCAGCCAGTTCCACATCCAAAAGAGAAGTGAGTCTACTTTCATGAAGTGGGGCTTAAGGTAGTGGATGCATTGCCCCTTTGGAAACTTTGGTTCTTTCATGGGGAGTGAAACATGCATGATATATTTCCCTATAGATAACTTTTTTGGAATATATTTTTCTTAAATTTTTTCTCTCAGACAAAATGCTAAATGTAAAAAGTGAAATTTCTTTTTAAATTCATGTCTTCATATGTAGTGGAGAATATATCTAGAGGATCTGCTTTATCAAATGATCCATTTGGAATATCTCACTGCTCACAATCAATGTAAGTTCTCCCATGGAGGGATGGGATGAATCCAATCCCATAACAGGGTACTTGTACAAGATAATAAGCATTAAAAAAAATTGCTACAACCATATACATTGGATTGAGATTCATTTATATGGTACGAGGGCCACTCAATAAGTTATCTACCTGAATATGAAAGGGATGAGCAACAGGCCTGTGCCTGCTGTGACATGTCTCGACAGGTCTTGTGAGTGCCCCACCACTATACCAGCTCAGTGGCTCAAGTCCATTCAAAGTGGTAGCGCATTANTTCCCCAGAATAGTAACTGGTGATGAAACTCAGGTTCATCACTGAGATCCTGAAACCAAGCAGGAGTCCATGCAGTGGAAGCACAAGGGATCGCCAATGCCTTGCAAATTTCATGTTCAGAAATCTGCAGGAAAGATTATGGCCACTGTGTTTTGGGACAGTGAGGAACTACTGCTGCTTGAGTTCATGCCAGACAAGTGTACAATCACTGGCGATTCCTATGCTACCATCATGAAAAATTTACACGATGCCATCAAGGAAAAACGCAGAGGAAAGTTGTCAAGGGGGGTCCTCCTCCATGACAATGCGCCCATCCACAAATCATGGAAAGTTCAGGCAGCGGTGAGGGAGTGTGGCTTTCAGGAGCTCAACCATCCTCCCTACAGCCCGGATCTGGCTCCTAGTGACTATTTTCTGTTCAGACACTTGAAAAAATGTTTGCAGGGTAAAAGATTTTCATGCAATGAAGAGCTGAAAGTTGCCGTTTCTGATTGGTTTGATGGACAAGAAGTGGACTTCTATTCCCAGGGAATAAAATCCTTGGAATCAAAGTGGAATAAGTGTGTTGAGTTAAAAGGTGACTAAATTGAAAAATAAAGTGTTGTTTTTCCCCTCAGATGTTTCTTTCTTATACAGGTAGATAACTTATTGAGTGACCCTCGTATATTGAGGGTAAGAAAGGGTCCTGGTTTCAGTCATAACAGAACATAAGACCCACTGACTCCAAAGATTATGCTCTTTCACCATTTTCTGACAGTGGAAGCACTTCATCTTCTATTGCAATGGTCTGACAAGGTTATGGAGCTAGGGTGAGCATTAACCCTTTGAGGAGTGGGTTTTTTTAACGCCTAGATCAGGGGTTCCCAAACCCTGGGTCACAACCCAGGGTTTGGATGTTGAATTTTGAGTCATGACTAAAAACGTTTGGGAACCACTGCCCTAGATGATCACCCGTAGTGAATACACAGAGGGCAGGAGGATGTCAGCCCGAAAAACATACAGGCATACTCGTCAAAGGGTTAATAAGAGGTGATAGTACTTTTCACTTGAGTCTGACATTTTCTCAGCTGATTTGTTTGAAAAGCACTGTAAAGGATCACTTCAAAAATGAGCTGATATAGGAGACAAATTAGTTCTCAGAATTAGCATTTTTGCTCTTCTGTACACATTGCACATTACAGAAATTAGCTTAGCAACATTTAGCCATATCCCTTGAAGAGTATCATGGAAGATGAACTTGGGGATAGGACCTTTAAAAAAATAATTACAACCATGAAAAAGAAGTCAATAAGGCTTTTCAACAAACTTAAAACTCACTTATTGCTGAAACCAGGAGTAGGAGGTTGGGAAGGGTCTTCTAAGTCTTCACCATCTGACAAGAAGTTCAAACGTTCCTCGTGGTCATAGAAGAAGTATGTGGCATTCTCCAGAGCATCTACTTGCTCTTGACTGGTAGCTGATGTCACTGTGCCATTGATATCTCGTCTTGCCCTTGAATACCCTTGTCCCATCTTTGGGGGAAGCTGGACCTCTGCAGCATCAATTGGCAATGTTGCCACAACCTCAATCCCATTCTGTTCATCTTCAAATCTCTCATACTTCTTCATACTACTTAGAGAAAGGCTTTGGCTTTCTCACACATTTGTCTCTTTGGTAACAGTCATTCAATAGTAAGTTAGATTATCTAAAGGGGAAGATGAGCATTGCATCAAATTCATGTGGCCTTTGTAAAGTGTATATATACATTCTTCTGTCTTGAGACCTCACAGACTTCCATGTAGGGATGGATTGGTCAATTGACCACCTTTTAATTGACAGTTATTGACTGCCCTTTTTCATTATTCAGAGAATAAGAAATGTTTATAGATCTCATAACTGTTGTCATTTATCCTCCAGCACTAAAACCAAAGAGTAAGTTCCATTTTAAAGTTATATTCATGCAGCCCACCTGACATCTGGACTGTGGCACCTGGACTGTGTATCAGATTATCAATTCATTCTCAGAGTCTGTGATCATGAGACAAGTACTTGGATTATGTCCAGACCTTTGCCTAAAAAAATTGATCTAGCTATGAAGAACCTCCTTGACCAAGGCATGGGCTATTTTTTTCTGGCAGGAACAGGAATAAATGCTAATGCCAGAAACCAAGAAACTCCAGTTCTGGAAACTATGTGTTGCATTTCTCATTATTCAAAGTACTTATAGAGCTATCTAGTTGCAGAATTTACCTCTGAAACCTAACTGAATACTGTTTAATGTTCCAATTTGTGCAATCTATATGACAGTCTATCTCAGCAAGATGGTGACTGGTCAACATGGTCATTTAGAATCATATACAGTCATAAGGCCTAAGTTCTTGTAGGGCTGCTTGACCATTACTGTCTATAAATGGTCAAAAGTGACAATGTTGACCTGACAACTTCCCATGCCTAGTCTATCACTTATGAGTCATGACATAAAAATGGAGCACAAACTGTGCAGGAAAAAACAAAAAAAGTTGGCCTTTTTAACCAGTTGACAATATTGACCAGTCAATCCCTACTTCCATGTAAAGTGAATGATGGTTACTTTCAAGTTTAAATAGACCTTGCTAACCATGTCATTCATATTTTTCACTAGGCTATAATCTGATCTTTAAGCCTGAAAAATTTTCATGCTTTTGAACTGGTTCAAGTCTGAAATTACTTCCCATTAGAAGGCCAATTTCAGATGCTGATGTCATTCATTACATAACCTTTCAAAATTATTCCTGTCCCTCAAAGACCCTTCATAACCAAGGATGGTGGTATCAGGAAAACTCAACACAGGGAGGGAGGTTCAATTAATATGCAACAAACAATGCTTGAACCCAAAACATGGGAACTCCACACAAGAAACATGATTTCTATTGATTATGGATAACACACCACCATCCAACAAGTCCATAAGGGTCCAATTGAGGAGTTCTCTAAAAAAAAAAAAAAAAAAAAAAAAAAAAAAAAAAAAAGAACAAAAAATACAATGTGGACTGGATGAGTATCAAGTAATAAGTACTTAAAGGGCTAAAAAATACTTCTGAATGTCCAAAACACCAGACCAAGCGAAAAAAGCCTACTTGACTAATTTCTTTTAACTAAATATTGCTAGGCTCATCTCACACTTGGAGGTGCTCCTTTTCAGAGTCTGAAGCACTTTTCCGGTACCACAAGTAGTTATGAGGTACTACTAGGAGATACTTTATGTACAACACAAAGGCAAAGAACAAAAATGATTGGTTAGATGAGGTATTATACAATTGACTCATATTCCTCAGTCCATTGTGTCTTTAGGCATTCTCATAAGTGCTTAAAAAAATTAAGGTTAAAAATTAAGCAAAACATCAACATGCATTGAAAACTTCTGGACTTTGAAAATGGATGCACATACAGGACTCAAGTTGGCAGCATTATTTTTGGGGGATATCCAGAAATTATCATGTAACAGTAAAGTGAAGTAGATTTTAATATCCAAAGCATGAAGGATAAAATACTGGACAGAATTTGATTGAATGAAGGTAATGTTAATTTTTTAAATATATTCTAGGAGGGTGACTTTTTTGAGTCAGAAATGCTAAGGCACAGCTGGACTTGTCTTACTGTAAGACATGCCTTATGGAGGTCTCACATACTTACTACTGAAACGACTAGCAAGTATGTACTAGCAGGACCATTCACTTTGGAAGATTAAAAAGAGATTACTCATTGCAGTCCAACAAAAGAGACAGCAAGCCTCAACTTTGCATTAGTTATATCCCATACATGTTAATTGAGGAGTTCTCTAGAAAAAGGGCAAATGTGCAAAAGATGCAATTTGAGATAAATGATAAGACATAAACTTCTCATTGCTAATCTGAAGCTGGTCAAAACTTAATTATCAGTAAAATGGTATCTTAGACCTTTTTCCAATTGAACTTGGGGTTTTAATGAATTTATTTATCTCACATTGCTGGGATTCAGGCAGAAAACGTTTATGCACATACACCCTTTTTCCATATCAGCACTGCTGAAACTTTTTCTGAGTCTTTTACACCACTTCTTTCTAGTTAAAAATAATAATTAATCAAGAAATGCATCAACAGATTTCAAATACTCTTTCTTGAAAAATAGCAATGAAAATGAGAATAGTCAGGACATGTTTAATTCACCAATAACTCAGCAGTGATCCATAATTAATGTATTCATCATCTGAATCTTCAACTATTTCATGGATATCTCCAACTTCTCACATCCTTCCAGAGTCTTGAATGACTGGGTCTCTTTCTTTCCCTTTCTTCGTTTCTGGTTTTTACCTCCTTTTCACTTTCAGTTTAAAAGGACTAAATAATCCCACCAAAATCGTTCAGCATGCAAGTGCTAATGGAATATTCATGGAGGCAGCCATATTGAAATTGCCAGGCAGTTGTCCTGCTACTTAGTGAGAGCATAGGAAAATCTGCTTCTCCTTTGCTGAATGCACATCTTAACTACTAGCTGACCACCCTATCTTATGACTAGCCACTTAAAGCAGCACATGGACATGAATATGGAAAAAGGGCGTATGTACGCCCCTTTTCCAGAGAACTCCTCAATTTTTACTGCAAAGAGGATTGCAGATGAGTTACCCAATAAGTAACCCAACTATATGTTAGCCAACTCTTCTTAACTCAACAGCAATCAATTGATTTTTAAAGCAAGTTACACTGTATCTGCCAAGCAATAGCCATATGATATTTAACATTTAAGGACTTCCTGATTGTTTATACCACCAAAAATGACCAAACAATCTACAAATGAAAAGTTATGCTAAGCAACACCATGGGTGCTATAGTGGTTGCCTGCCACTCAGTTTTGTTCCAGTTGATCTTCATTTCATTAAAAACATGACCATGATTTCACTGCATTTACTCAGATTTCAGTTCACTTAAACTGATATTAAACAAGTGGTAAACAAAGATCCTTGGAATTCCCATTTGCAAATCATGGGAATAAGCAAATATTAGCCAGGCCATTAACAGAAGATTGACTTCAAGAGAAGCCAGTCTCAGTATATCAAGAAATTCCAAGTACAGGTGTAGATTACCAGCATTTTCAATTCAAACTCTACCTAAGGTCAGTCCCCTATCATGAATGAAAGCATGTACAAGGTAATTTTAAAGTTGACTGCCAGGTATATGACAATATATAAAAATACCTTTGCACCATAGCTTCTTCCCACAACTTTGGGATTAGCATCAGTACATTAGAGTGAGATTGATAAGCAAAACACAAAAACATGCCTCAGATGGGGTACTACTGGCATGACAAGCAGTTTGGGTTAAAAAATGCACAATATGTCCCCACCAAGCTCCACAACTGCTTCCAATCAGTGTCTGGAATAGCAGATAGCAGCCCTCAACATGTCATGACAAATGGACAGCACCTCTTAGCAAAGTAGCAAATGGCATCCTTCAGTTCTGGTAATGACACTGGATTGCTGAGAGACACCTGTGACTTCTGATATTGTCAATACCAAAAGTCTGCTGGGTTTGGATCTCATGACCTGGGTGATGGTTACTGAGTCATAAATATATACCCATGATCCTGTCATTAAAGGAGTCTGTGAGCACTGTCTTTGCAAGAATCCCAATAGATTGAGGTCTGCCATCATGCAAGAATTGGTCTGTTATCCCTGACCTGCATCAAAGGCAATGCATGCTACTGTCCACACATTTTTGTTCTAGTGTCATGCAGCTGCCAACCAACTTTATAATCACCTTGTATCACATTCCTGAAATCGCTGTTTCATACTGTCTGATCACATAAATTCTGCATTCATGAAATAAAAGATGTCATTTGCCTCCTTCAAAGCCTTCATATGCCTACGTTTGGTCCGGACCACTTCCGGTCCCACACTTCTCCCTCATAATGGTTCTAAATTAGGTAACATTGGGAATTAACAGGTCTATGTACCCGGCCTCATATGCATAGCATTCGCCCTCCCCCCTTTTTGGCTCACCTGCTACCTACCCTATAAATTGGATCAGTCTAAAATTGTTTATGATGAGCCCTTGTACATATGCTTCAAAACAATAACGCGTTCCTTCAACGCGTCCCACTTGGGTGGTTCTAATATGTTTAACTTTGGGGGTATCTACCCTTCTACCCTAATTAGGCCTAAAACAGAGCTTCGAGCAGGGCAATAGACGAAAACTCGCCAGTCGGCACGGATCCACTATCATCATGGTCGAACCGGTTCCACCAGACCGTGGCCATTAAAAAAGTATGATCCATCATGACTACGCTAGAAGCAGCCATCAAGCCGACAATGAGTACCGGCATGGTTCCTAGAATACATGGTCCCCATCTCCCCGCCCACCTGACTCTAGGGACAGGAACGTCCGCCAGAGTCTGCTGTTGGTAAGAGTGCTTGCGCTCCATCCACAGGCATGATCTTAACGCCGTCAGACGGCACACGTTTCTCATTTCCTATTATTCCGCAGATTTTCCCTGCTCTTCCCTCCTTACTTTTCTATCACAAAGGGAACTTCTCTGACCATCTTGTTCAGCCTGGATGTATTCTATATTGAGGATGACCTCACTGCTGAATTTACAGCGCTCTAACTCTACCAATATTGAAAGGTTCCAAGGTGCATATTACTAATTCGTTGAGCTTGAAGAGACGCATCACCCATGAATGCATAAAAAGCGGAAAATGGAAGGG